ATCTACCGCTTGTTCCCTCTTTTCTGGCAACACATCTTTTCTCCCTTTCACTTCTCCGTTCACAGCCCTATGGTGACACTCCGCATACCATTACTTGTACCGTCTAGCAGCCTAGTTCATAAGCTGTTGTAATATTCTCCTATACCATTCTTTACCGCATGGTCTCACACATATCATCTCTTTTGCCCATCTCATAAGAGCTTTTACGGCAAGAAATTTTGAAAGTGTATCAGTGTGCACAGAATGCGCAATTCATGCCGACCGATACAATGCAGATTAGAGTAAAACGGGGCTACGTAACTGTACATGGTTTGATTGCAGTCCCCTCTCCCGTGATATGTGGATATTGATTGCCGCAGCATCTACGGCAGACGAGTGAGTCCTCCATGCCAGGGTGAGACCGCAGAATGCACACACCTTCTCAGGGTCTTTCACGGTTCTGTCCGAACGGTTACTCGGCGGCAAGCTCAAGCTTGAGCTTGGCAATTGCTTGCGCCGGGTTGAGACCCTTCGGGCACGTCCGGGCACAGTTGAAGATCGTGTGGCACCGGTACAGGCTCATCTCGTTCTGGAGCTTCTCCTTGCGCTCGGCCTTGTAGGTGTCGCGCGAGTCGGCGATCCAGCGGTAGGCAGCCATGAGCGTCGCCGGGCCGAGGTAGACGTCTTGGTTCCACCAGTACGACGGGCAGGATGTCGAGCAGCAGGCGCAGAGAATGCATTCATACATGCTGTATGCGGTTTAGCATGGGGTGAGTGACGCAGGACGGACGACATACCCGTCCAGCTTCCTGCGGTCCTCTTGTGACTGCAGGAACTCACGACCCTGCGGTGGGTTGTCGTTCTTGAGGTAGGGTTCGATAGACTTGTACTGTTTGTAGAAGAGTGTCAGGTCGGGAACGAGGTCCTTGACGATGTACACTGAAGAAGATTGATGACGTTGTCTGTGAAGTGCTCGGTGTAGCACTTACTGTGAGGAAGGGGATAAATCTTGGAATCCTTGCCGGAGTCGCGTTCAATTCTGCAAAGACACGCAAGGGTATTTTGGCCGTTGATGTTCATGGCACAAGAACCGCAGATGCCTTCGCGACATGACCGACGGAAGGTAAGGGTAGGGTCTATCTCGTTCTTGATTTTGATGAGCGCATCGAGAATCTAGAGGAGGTACAAGAGTCAGTGGCATTCCTCGTGCATATCGCTTTCGCGTGACGCCAGAAGTCAGAGGTCCGGAAGATCTCCCATCTCTTCGTGCAACCTCACGCCCTACATAAACTTCATCGTCATGTGCTACCCGAATGCTTAACACCGTGTCGTTCGCGACATACTTCACAGAATACAGGCATGCACCGGGAATAGGATATAATGCGGTACTCACCATAGGACCACACTGGTTGAGGTCAATAGTGTACGATTGCAGCGTCGGCTTCTCCGCTGGCTGATCTGGGTTCTGCAGAGATGTCACTCAGCACCTGACCCCTGCTATATATGCTGCACAGGTTGCATACCCAGCGGTAGATCTTGAACTCCTTCTGCAGGACAGGTTTCTCTGCCGGGGTCGCCTGGAAGCGTGCAGCGGACGAGGCGAAGGTGCGCACGACAGGCACGCGGGCTGCCTGGCTACGCACGAAGGCGGAGCGGGCGATGAGGGACTGCATGGTAGTAGCGGTCGACAGTAGAGAAAGCGGTAACGAGCCTCGAGCCCTATCCTGGCCTTTCCGCACGGAGCAGTGACGGCGTCTGGAGGCGCTCGGATGCGTTCGGCCGGGCGCTCCCACGTGAGCCCCGCCGGACCAATCACGGGTGTCGTTTTTCAGCAGGAGGCGATGGCACTTAGCTCGGTGAGAGGGAGATACATTTGAACATTAGCTACGACTACATAGGAAATAATACAGTATAAAGTTCTAGACGCATGGAAATCATTGATCACAGGTTCGCCAAATTCGCCGAGATATCTCGGATGTTCTCCACGTCCGTCAAGCTGTTGATATACGTGCCCCAGTCATTCCATCTACAGAACGCTAGTCAGCAACACACTCAAGCTCGGTGGAAGAGAGATCGCGTACTCTAAACCCATCGGTGCACTCGACAGCATAGCAAGCACGTCGCTGTCAAACAACGGCGCGGGACTACCTCCTGACCGCTCGTCCCGAGAGCTAGACTGTCCCCACGACTGCGGGCTGTCTGTGGTTATACCAGTCATAGCACTCGGGGATTCCGTAGTCGCTTGCACAAATCTGTTTGAGAACGTCGCTGCGATTGAATCGGCAGTGTACGATGTCTGAGGCGGTGTCGAGAGCGGCCCCTGATACATCGGCGATGAGGCATACGTATTGCCATTCTGTCCCGTAAACGGACTGGCGGCAGGCCCAGGAGCCGATGACGACGACATCGAAAACTGAGAGTCCCACGCCGGGGTGGCGCCAGGTTGTCGATGGGCCATCCATGCCTGATTCTGCCAGAGCGAGTTTAGAAGTACGGAATCCGTCACGTACGGCGGCAGGCTATCGCTAGAGGAGTTGACACTGGCCGTACCGACGGCGGTGGCTCTTTTGGCGTGCTGCTGTGCTCGTTGTGTGCCTGCCATGATACGCGTGGTCAAATTAGAGCCGAGAGGGCCGTTACTCGGAGGGCTTGACGCTGCAAACTCGTCGTCATTGTTCCAGCCCCTCTTCAGTCCCCTTCGCGGCGGGTCGCCGGGAAAATGAAAATCGCCGATAGCTGCAAGCTCAATGAGGCAATCCCTACAGCCGTGCGTCAAGAATGGCGTTGACTGTCCGGAAGATATTACGACGCACCTAACCTTGCCGGCTATGTTGACGCGTAGCTCTAGATACTTTAACATCGTCAAGACTTTGATCACGTCTTCGAGGTCCCTCTTCGATTTCGAAGAGGTGTCAGAGTGTTTGTTGGCCCACAGAGTCAGAACCAGCATCATAGCTGCGTTGAACAGGGCAACCTAACCCATCCCGATAATCAGTTTTCTTTCATAGCTATTACGGACACTGTTACTTGCCAAGTTTTGATAAACACCCTGCACGTTGCGCTTGAATTGAACTTCAAGGATATGCACACACGACCTTGCGGCGTTTGTACAAATTGTGAGTGACGGTAGTGTCAGAGTCGTAGACTTGCTCGGTATAGGTATGAAGGAGCGATGAACAAGAATCTGGAGATGATAGTAGGACGAGTAGAGCCAAGCTGATAGATGTAGAAACGAATCTTGCTCGATATTTGGGTCCCATCGCACTAGATTTTTCAAGGTTAACGTAGCTCTGAGAGAGTCGCAAAAGTACGTACAGTGTTCAGGTACAGAATCCATCCACTTGTTCAACGCCGAATCTAAAGCACTTACAATCTCCTGTTGCATCTCGATACTGAAGCCCCAGTGTGCTTTGGATTTGTTTGTCGCATACTGTCAGTTATGTAAGCTTCTTATTTAATCACAGCCGAACGAATAAGCCCACAATGGTGCGCAAGGTGGCTGCTTGTATCTGCATTAAACGAATAGTACAGTTGAAGGCGATGACGCTCGACGGTCGTCCCGGGGGCTGCTTGAAAGCTTGCGCAGGGTCTTCATGGAACCAATACTCGTCGTCACATTCGATAGGCATATCGAGATCGAAGCTGTATTGAAGCCCGGTTAATACCCAGACGTATCCTCTATAGAACATGGCAGGATAATGGTGAACTCACTCTTCGTCTTGGATGCAACAAGGGCGACCAAGGATGCAGCTCAACGTACGGTCCAGCACGACCAGAACCCTGATATCTTTGCTTTCAGTAGTGCATCGAATACCAGGGTGGGAAACATACCAGAACGCACGCTTCAATAACTCATCGTCTGTATTTGGGGTTTGCCTGTACACCTTCCGCTTGTGCGCACCGAGGTCCATAGCCGATCGCAGGCCATATGATATGATTACCGTGGCGGCATTAGGTGTCGGAGATGCATACAGATACACCGCGGCAAGCTGTGCGCCGATTAGTTGTGTGGCTTCAAACAAGATTCAGACACCTTACAGCTGGCACCTGTATGTCGTATAGGGCTGTCGGTGATAGGTCAAGGGTCTTGCGGACTTCCTGAACGCGCCGGAACCATTTCCATCCGGATGTTTGCCAGTGCTCTGAGCCATCAAGCAATACGCGCCTGTCATCGGAGAAGCGTGCACCAATGGCACACACGATCAGAACGGTCGAGCCGAACCCTTCGTTCCGCAGATGCAGACCCGCATCGACTTGCTTCTGAAAGATGATGCGATTGAGGAGGGGCATGAAGGTGTTCGAGTTGTCGAAGTATTTATCGATTAGCGAGGCGAGTAAGTCCGACTCTGGGAAGTCTCGAGGGGTATAGGGGCATGCCATTGGAGGCGCGATCCACTATGGAGTAGCTGAAACGTTCGCTTATATCAAGGTCAGCGATGGTAGTACCACATACCGGGTTTTCCTTCCAGGGCTCGCCACACATCTCGCGGAACGCCTCTCTATTCTTCGCTGGGCCGAGCGTTGGTGGAAGACTGGCGGCGCTTGCCGCAATCGCCGCCTCCCTCATATCCAGGGCCTGTTGCACTAAGACGAGAGAGCTGGACTTGCCAAGGTATTGAAGATGTGCCGGAGTGTGTGCTAGAGATGGCATCCGCTTTTCAATTGACCCAACCATGTCACCGTCGTCGTCGCTGGGGTACTGTTCGTCGTTCAGTGGGGGTAGGGAAGGCAGGCGTTTACCGTTCTTTCCGGTTGGCCCGCAATGAGGGAAGATTGCAGATGAAGAAGAGGGCGACGGAACCGAGGAGCTCTGAGTGTCCATAGCACTATCTGCAGCTTCGAGCCTTGCCGTTAACTAAACACATTAGCCCCGTATATCAGTGCAAGTTTTATAACCACCTCACCTTCCTGATCGTATCATGAGCTTGGGCTAGCTGGGACTCCAGATTTTGGACATATCTAGTTGGAAGTGAGTTTGTACACATCAGCGTGCGCAAGAGTCCCAGTCATGATAGCGACATACTCGGGATCAATGGCACGTTTCTATGGGATGATCGTGAGCTTTAGCAAAGATATTTGAGTAGAGGAATAACCTTAGGAGCATAGGTGCATTTATAGTCGTACGTCTTACAATTCGTGCAGAGGCCGTCCGGCATGGAATCGCCGTCGCCTGAGACAGAACAGCTGCAAATGAGTCGCACTCCAAGGATGCATGCACTTTCGAAACCTACATCGGACTAGGTAGAGTTTAGCACGGGACGCAATCCCTCGCATAGTGCAAAAAGTATACCTTTCCTCCGCCTGCACATGTCGCAAGCCCTTGGCCTTTTCTTCCTTTCACCGTTTTTAGACTTGTCATTCATAGGAAAGGCGTCGCTATCGTTGGCATCCTCTGGCGAAGACATGTTCAGTGGGATAGTTGGCGGTTGGTGGTCGTAGCTGCACAAGGCTAGACCTAATCAAAGAGACACCGCCGTGTAATTAGGTGGTCATTCGGCGAGCGCTATTAGCATGTGAAAATCGCTGTCGATGACGAGTGGCCTGATACTGAACAAGAGACGGCATCGCATACGTCTTGGGCAGATAAAAATGGTGAAAGAGGTCGCAGACATACGATGTAAGACACTAATTGATGCTTGCAGGGCTAACACATGCGTGAGCAGGGATAAAGCCGACAGACTGATCAAGTCATCCTCATTACGCTAAATGGCGCCAATCAATGAGCGCAGTAGTTGCTCACAAGCGTTATGTTCTTATAACAGAATATTAACATTAATCCCTGGTAGTATATCGGTTAGTACACGCGCCTGTCATCTTGTAGGGTCCGCGCGAAAGCGGGGTTCGACTCCCCGCCAGGGAGTAATGAATGAGTATCTCATTTTTGCCTTTTGCTGTAAGGCTCCAACCGTTTTGTTTGTTTACTGTGTATAAATGTTTATTACTGTTTACCGTTTCCGTGTGTGTAAATGAAGTCATGTAAACTTGGTGTAAACGTTTATACACAGTAAACATACAGTTTCCTCTTGTTGTTTGTAAAAGGTCTTAGTGTTGTACATTCATAGTCTTGCTAACAGACTTGACCTTTATTGGGCTGAAGAGTGCATCGCACCACCTGTGCATCGTCCTCGGGCAGCCTCTTTGAACCCCCAAGCCCGGCGCACTGTATCAAGCACCTATGCCCTGAGACTTACTGGGAGTAATGGTAGTCATGATCCTAACTTGTATTGAGCACAGTCTGAAGGCGAGCATTATAAATATAATATAATGTGTATTTATTGACTGCTCCTCTACATATAGTCT